TTTTTATATTTTCCGTATAAAATACGGAAAATATAAATAAAATAATTATTTTGATACACGATATAATTTTTTTTATTACAATTCGCCAGCGTTGCAAGTCTGAATGTATTTTTAACGATGCATCGCGCGAAAGCCGATGACAACAGCGACAACGTCAAAAAAAAGCAAAAAAAAAAAAAAACAAAAAAACCGAGGAAAGCGTTTGATGGCAATATTTATTACAGTACGTGATACTTCCCGACGGCGAGTCCCAGTCGGCTCGAAGAGTTTTTTCGACCTGGCCAGGGCTCGTGGCGATAGCTCGCATCTTTCTCACGCATCTTTACTTTTTTTTCACGTTTTTAACTTGCTGAAACTGTAAAAACGAACATACCGGAAGAAACGAGAGAGCTCCTTTCTTTCTCTCCTCGAAGAGAGAGACTTGGTCGTCGCGTCATCCTCGATCGCCACGTTTCGCGGTATATATATATATGTTTCTATAGTCACACAATCTTTTTTCCGAATCTTCTTCGGAAAATAAAAAATCTCGTATTATCGTTTTGTTTTTGTGCTCGCTTGATTCTCTCAAGGAGAGATTTTCATTTTCAACGTGATGATATTCTGTTGTATGATACAACTTCGCGATAAAAAAAACTCTGATTGCTATAAATTTAGCGATTGCTTGATGTTGTTCTCTGTCTGTCTACATTGTTGTTGTTGTTGTTGTTCCTGTTGTTGTTGTTGCTGTTATCGATCGGGGATGAGCTTATGAGATGCAAAATAAAAAGAAACATTTTACTTGTCAGTTCTGCAATTATTTTAGTTTTCGTGATTGACGACCAAGTCCAAAAACGAATTTTGCTATTGTCTTTCCCCCCCCCTTTTTTTTTTTTTTTTTTTCCCCCCCTTTTTTTTTTTTTTTTTTTTTTTTTTTTTTTTTGACGAGACGCGCAACTGAAGGCGCGATATTTCTTTTAATCAAAAGAAACAAGTAACCGTCACACGTTTTGCATTGTAATTTATTTCATTTATCTTCTTTCATTCTTTCCTGTTTCTTTTATTTTTATTTTTTTTTAACAACTCTTGTATAGCTACGCAGGTACACGAAATCGAAGAGATATGACAGAACAATATGTCGAATAGCAATTGTAGTAGAAGATAATGAAAAAAAATTTTCTAGTATACCATACCTCGAGGAACGCGTAACATTGTACTGTTTATCGTATGTATGCAACAAGCAAAAACAAAATATATGTGTTGATGTGACAGATATGCGAGGTGAGTTTCTTTTTTTCACTCATACACACTTTCCTTTCCTTTCTATTTTTAATAATCGAATCGATTATTAAAAATGCTGTGCAATTATAGTGCGATAAAATTTTACAATAGAATTTTACAATAGTAGATATATATTTGTATAGTATATCTTGCAAACAACTTTATTTCTAAGATAACTATAACTTGGCACATTACAGGAAAACGAGACGAAATCGCGAACATTACTTTCTCGCACACGTGATTTTTTAGCGTACTCGAGTCACGCTACTACAAAAAATTCGCGGTATGACACACACACACACACAGGATCAAGTTAAAAACATATATACAGCGACCTTAGCGAGTGCTTTGTCCGGGTTTGCAGTCAGAGAGGGCGCGAGTCCGGCCGAACCGTGAAAATCAATGCCAATATTCAGCTGGGGTAGGTGGACTATGAAGAGAAAGAGGAGAAACGCGCGCGAACGAGGGAGATAGAGACGAGAAACACAAACCTAGCGGAATATTGATCTCCGCACACGTTCCAGACGGGTCGAAGCACCATCCTGGTAGAACCTGTATAGCGTGCACGATGACACTCCTCGGCTTAAAGTGGATGACGCGCAAATTATTCAACACACTCTTCTTCCACATACAAGTGACGCGAATAAACCGACAGGTAAAATCGATTTTTTTTTCTATCCGAGATGAGAATAACATAAATGAAACAATTGGACAGACCAACTCCCGAGAGTTGGTCTGTATGTGTCGTATAATTCAAGTAATCGAATGAAAACTACGTTCTGGTAGATTTTGGAGCTTATATTTTTTTCTCTGATGATGTTCTATTATTGTATTTTATTATTGCATTACCGTAAACATCGATCATGTTAAACATCATCAATTGTTGTTCTCTTTTCTCTCGTGTAATAAAAGATTACTCTTTGATTTATATCTCGTGGAATATAAGAAAAAATATTATCTTCTAATCTACTCGAGTCTATTCGTCCATTGAATTTGCAAGACAAAAAAAAAACAGAGTTAGTCTTTGCACCGAAAGAAATCTTTCGCCTTTAAGAGTCAATACTCCCGACCTTTAGTATCGTGCACGTAGACCATTATTATGCGATTGATAGAACTCTCTCGACACGCGGCCGCCGCGGTTGGCTCCGCATTGTAACAGAATGACGAAAGCCGCGTGATAGCGAGTTACAACTGCGTGATGATGACTAACCTTCCTACGAATGTCGAACACGAAATCTTTAAGGTCCAATTTTTTCACTTGTAGGTAAGTTCTAGATAAATTTATCTAAAAGATAAAGTGTATCTTTTTGTGTATATCTTTATCCAGAGGATAAACTATCGGAAGATATGAAGAAATCGGCAGTAAACGAGATAGAAAACAAAAAAAACAAAAAAAAACGGAGCATCGAAATTCGTCATTTTCTTCATTTCGCTCAGAAAGTTTGATTAGCAATTAAATCATGTCACATAAACTGTACGTGATGTCTAGATAGCCTTCGAGAATAGTTTTCTGCTACTGTGTACGAAATAGCATGTGCGATAAAAAGAAAAAAAAATAGATAAAAAATCGAGATAAAATTGAAGAAAAATGTATTTAATACAAACAACGCATTTCAAACTGACATTTATATAATAATCAGAATGTGCAGAGATATGTATTCGATTTACCACGCTTTCGTGTCTCAGAATATAATTTTTCCCGAAGCGTTTACAATAATAATACAGATGTGTGTGTGTGTGTGTGTGTTCCGATTGTATTTCCGTAAAAGAGAACTCACGCGCGAGACAACCAGTGTCCACAAGACAAAAAAAAAGAGAGCTCTCCTCACAAATTGATAGGCGTTACGTATCATGACAGCTGAACGGTCTATCGTCTTTAAAGGACGTGCATTACGTACCTACCTTTGACGTACTGTTATTGATCAACGAAACTGTTATTGATCGCGCGCGCGAGGGTGCGTTAAAGCGGCAAGCGTCTCAGAACGTTTGTGTATGCGTGTGTATATATGCGACCAGTCGTTGACGTCATTCTTCGTCGCTAAATACAAAAGCGTCCTCGCCCCATGTGCTTTGTGCGCTCGTTTCCCGACATTTTCTTTGAAAAAATGCCACCGTGCCAGCGATTTTCCTCACGGATGCGCTTTGGGAGCGCATCGCGCGATGACGCATGCAGACGCGAGAACGGTCATCCGTGCATGCACGCGCGAGTTAAATCTCAACAGCAAAAAGCGCGCCCCGGCCTATGTTTATTTATTACTCACAGGTCAAATGCGAGACGAGCGATGGTTTTCATCGACCGGAAAAATTATCGCGTAAATATCACATTATCTTTTTTCCCTCCCGTGCGCAACGGATTTTCGAAATTCCCGTAACAAGGTAGCCAAGAGTAATTCTTTCCCGAGAAAAATGCAAAATTATCATTATGATCGATAACAAAAAACCACAACGACTGGCACAAAGTAAATTTCAACAAATTTGAAAACACAAGACGATAGTAGAGCGCGCGCGGTGTTTACACAGTTGGGGTTCTTCGGATTTCTATGCAATTCGAGGTCTCTCTCCCCTTTAAGGAATCGATACCATTGCCTATAGAAACGTCGGCTGCAGCCGGCCCGGATCGCGGAGGGTACGACGACGTAGCTGGGAACGGTATTATATATATATATATATATATATATATGTATATATATATGTGTGTTACATACGTAGCGCGGGAACGGCATGATTTCAGTCGGAGTCGGGAAAGAGCTGTGGAACGAGATGGTGGGCGGCCCACCCCCGCCTCGAGGAGAAATTCACGGTTTTATTACCGTCGGTCCTTGAACCCGTCTCTCGAATGCAACGTCTCGTTTTCTTTGCCTGCGCCATGTAGCATCTGTTTTTATCTTACAATAAATAATAAATAACTTTTTCTCTGCATATATTTATCTTCAGGAATTTTTAATCGAGCTATTTATCGATAAAAACAAAACTAGTCTCACACATTTGTTTAAATAATATATACATGTATGATATATATTTATTACTTTGCGAGCATATATCGCGTAGTTGAAACATAGTTGAAAGTACATATCACAGGTACGAAATATTTATCGGAAAGAATAAAGAAATATACGAAAGTCACTAAAGTGAAAATTTCAATTTTGATTGAAACAAATAATGTTATTGATTATTGTATTCTTTTTGTTTTAGGGAAATTTCAAGTTCTTCGGAGTCGTGCGACGATCACACTTGTTCGGCAACGTCTCCGAACGAGATGACTTCCGCTCGCACGTGTTATTGTAAACAAGAGGAAAATTTTGCGGCACGCAAAAAGGATAACAACTGCGGATTACGAAACGGAAATCAATGTTTTACATCCGTCGCATCCAGAACCTCGACGATCAAGAATGAAAATAGCGGAGAATCGTCAAGAAGAGGAAGAAGCTTCACTGATGAGAAAACGGTAATAAATAATTCTACATAATCTACTTTTGTTTTTATCTGATTGCTTTAATATATTTTTGACAATAAAAGAGAATAAACTGACAAACCCCTCATTATAGTCGAACAGAAGTCGATCGGTGGAAGCGCAATCTTCCGGTCCGGTTCTAAGTCCCGAAACGTCGATCGCGCTTGAAAATGCCGAGAAAATTATCAACAACGCGAAGATGCAACTTGTGGAAGTCTGCGCGATGTCAAATTGCCTCAATTCTTTACGATCGACTAGAAACATGTGAGTGAAGAGAAGAATGATTTAATCATTAAATGAGTTTTACTGGCACGCGCGATTGAGCATTTTTCGTACCAGCGAACTATTGTTCACGCCTTGTTCTTTCAGATATTCGGATGATCCGCCGTTGGACGACGAAACGGAAGAGCTGTTGTACATCCGCGAGTTGGTGGCGACAAAATTTCAAGAAGCGAGCTCCATCAAATCGGACGCTAACAGCAACCAAGCAAACAGCGCACGATCGGAAAAACCACCTTCTCGAGTTAGCGCTCAGGTTGATTTATCGGCGTCTAAATTTCGAATGTCACGTAGACACGGCGACTGGAAATCGAACCTGCTGGAACACAAGAGCGACGATCGCGTCTCACCGTCGAGGAACAATTGTTCGTCAACAAAAGAACCGAGCAAGAAAGAAGAAACGATCTCGCGCGACAATCACGCGTCCGATTATCATCAGCGAGAGTCATCGGCGGCCGAATGCGGCGTTCGTGCGCGCGGAGCCGCGTGCAGAATCCAAATGGGACCGTCGGTGAGCATCGTCGCCGATCACAGATTAACGAAACAGAACCTGGAAGACGTGCACATATCGCCGTGTCCGTTCTTGCCGCAGAATACGGCCACTTACACGCTTTGCCACGACGTCGATGAGAAATCCATCGGCAGAAAAGCGAACGAGACGGAAACGTCGAGGGAATTGAAATCTTCGAGCGCGGAATTAGATTCTTTGCAGCGAAAAAAACGCGAAAGACTGACTGAGGCAACGAATGGCTCTTTGATCAAGCCGTCAAAGAGCGTTGAAGATGTGGCACACGTTGGAAATTTCAATCCCGAACAGATAGAGTCGTCGGAGTCTCGTGATTACGGAAAAAAGAAAAAAAATCAAAAACTCGGTTCGCAGAACGTCAAAGACAAAATATCAAATCGGGAAACAATGGTTTCTGACGCAAGTGAAAAACCAGATACGGGTGACGAGGAACAGAAGCCGCGAAATGAAAAACAAATGAAAATTATTGCCAGCGATGATATCGATAATCGTTGCGCGGAAAATGAGGAAATATTCAACAATACGAGCGATATCGACGAGCGAGATGCACGACTGCAGAAAGAAAAAAGAGATATCGCGGACAAGGAAATGTGGAAAAATCGAAGGTTTTATCGCATTACTGACGAACACTTGACCAACACGTTTGATAGTCAGAACGGGCAGGAGAAATTGCGCGACAATGTTAACAAGGACACAACACGTCGTCAATCTCCCATTTTCGAGTATCGAAACAATTTCCAATGGGAGATGGACGATTCGAACGATCTCGCCGATCTGTACCGACCGCGATTCGACAACTTGAATTCCGTTTTGCTGTCGAACGACAGGAAGCTCCGTCACGTCGCTCGCGCGACAAAGACTTTTGCGGAATTGTTATCGAGGCCCGAATTCGCGAAACTCAAGGCGGACGTTGCAACTCAATCGGGACGTTGCGAGAAATTTTATCGCGAGCCGTTTGCTGATAAGAATTGCAAATCACTGTTGAATCGGGTTACGTCGTCTTCGGAGATCGAGTTAAAAAACGAGGACCTGACTGTTGCGTCGCATCTTGAAACTAACGCGAACGACGCGCAGCGAACGAAATCGTCAGATTGTCCGACGTCGAACAACGATCGTACGAAGAACTCCGTTGAATCCAGCGTGTATCCTGAATCGGACGGAAGCGAAGCTTTGAGGATATTTCGCGATAACACGATTCAGACGAAACCCGCGCCTTCGTCGGAATCGTCGTCGGACATTGCGACATTGTTCTCCAACCTAGACCCCGCTTTATCCAGCACGCACACGCAAGCGTGTCGTCACGGGGAGAGGCGGATTGTTCGAACCAATCAATCCGCAGATACGAAGTTACGTGCTGCAAATGTGAATGAATTCTCAGAGAACAGAGTTCATTGGAACGACCACTCGGATAACGATGACGTGTCCTTCGCACGTGTTTTCCAAGGTCTGAGAGATACGTCCGAGGCGACCGATCGGTTTGTCGCTTATATCCTGCAGGACGAGAGCCACAGCATCGAGAAGAAAATCAGACACGCTTTGAGGGAATCGGCGATCGTGCCGGCAACAATACGCAAGCTACTGAATCGTTTGTCCGAATCGGTCCGCACCACGTGTCAAACGGAAACTTTAAATATTCTGAAAACTATCTTGAGCGATGTTCAAGATTGTACTGATCAGAAGGTCATCAGTAAAGCAAGCAATGACAAGAAACAATCTTCCCAAAACGTTCCCGATCTTGCCGAACACGACGATTCTGAACGTTTTTTCGATGAACGTTCGTCTGATACGGGAAAAAATGAGAGAAATACGGAAACCGCAAACATAATAGAACCCGTGAAGACTGACGTTAAAAATGAATCTGATAAAAGTATCGATGAGGAAAACGAGAAGGATGATAAGAAAACACATTCCGAGAACGTCATCGATCCTTTCGTTCAAGCGAATCGCGCGATTAAAGAGCCGATTCTGCGAATCCAAGGTGCGGAAGATAATAATAATAACGCGAGCGAGCAAATTTCGAGGGAAAGTCGTCGGGATTTAAAAAATCCCGATAAATATCCGCGTGATTTTTCGGAAATTCGAGGAGAAGAGACAGCGGAGAGCGCTCCGCTTTCCGAGTCCGGGAGCGGCAACAAGAGCAAAGAGAATTTGCATTCGGAGGCTGAGTCGTTGAGGCAAATCTCCGATATTCACAGCGACGATGACGATATCGGAGATTTGCAAAATTCAAAGACCACGAACGAAGAGCGTAAATCGAAGTCCAATCACGATCTGACCACAACGGATACAAATCAAGAACGACACAAAGATAAACCGAGTGACGTTCGAAACAATAAAAATTCTATTCGCGGAGACGAGTTTACGGATAAAAACAGTGTACAAACTTTCGCGATCGATACGAACAAAGATACGTCTGTTGCTGTTCTGAAAGAAGCAGCGATTGAAAAAGAGCAGCACTCTGGCAGCGTGTCGATGCAGAACAAAATCGGCGGAGACGAAATTACGGAAGCTTCGGAGAAGCAACTCGATTCCATCGGTACAAAAATCGTCGATGAAAATTCAACGAGGAAAGACGCAAGTTTTCCGTTGTCGGCAACAAAAGATGTCGAAATTGCAAAAAACAATAATAATTTGCAACAATCTGCGATTGCGACACAAACAAGCGATTGTTCGACCAGTTGTTGCTCTGTGCGAAACAGCGTATCGAACGTAAAAAATAAAAAACCGTTGTTGAAAGAAGTTTCGTCGCGCGATGAGCAAACTTGTTTCAACATCGCTGGGAAGAGCAATTCGACGGAGAACACGAAGTTGTTGAAAGGCGACGAGCCGAAAGATGAAAAGGAAAATGCAGAAAGCAGCGACGACCAGACGACGAACACATTGTCAAAGGGTCAAGTAAACCAGCTGTCCGTCTCGAATTCCAGCGTCAGCAACGCGCTTCTTGATCCCGATGACAGGTGAATACGCAACGAGACCAGTGACATTTTTATTTGACGCTGCGAAGTTATATTCAAATCTTTATTTAATCCTTTCTAGAACTTACCTGTGTTTTAATTATGTTTTTTTTTTTACGTTCACAGGTCTAAGAGCAGCGGCGCGTTTAATGCAATTACGAAGAGTGTAAGTAAATAACTCGCCGTACTTAAGTGTAACTTGAAGAGTGTAAAAAAAAAAAAAATACACTTTTCTGTTGAAAAATTGCTGTGTGTAATCACACTCCTGTTAATTCGACTCGCGATTTTAGATCGAAACCTCGGTCGAAACGTCTCATTCCGAAGGGGAGCTGTACATGCCGAGTTCGTGCTCTTATTCTCTCGGAGAAGTGAGAATTCTGAAGAAATCCGATTTAATTGCAAATAGCACGACGGATCGTGAGAACAGCGCGATGTTTCTTGTTACTAAGAGTATGTTAACGTCATTAAACGATTCCACAATGGTGCGTATATAAAAAAAAAAAAAACAACCGAAAAGAATTGTGCGTACAATATAATCCTCAACTCTCAAAGTTTTATTTTTCTGTTACAGTCCTTATCAGAAAGTTCCAGCCACGTTTAAGTGATCATCAAAAGTTTAACAACAAAAACTCGATCTTTACGTTCGCGTTTTTCTTTCTTTCTCTCAATTTTCCACTGACATTTTCTCAATTTATAAATTTGATTTAAAAAAATTTTCAATAAAATGATATTATTGCACAAGTGTGAACAAATAAAGTTTTAATTATTCAAGTTTAACAAACGTATAGACAGTACTTGTGAACAACGTTTCTTTTATAAACTCATTAAAAAAATTACGAATCAAGAGTTAAAAGTTAATCTCTAATTAGAAAATAATTAGAAAAGTATTAAAAAATTAAAATAACTTTAAAGTGAGCCATTTCAATTTGTAACTGTAAAACTATTTTTTAAGAATGTGACACGTAAATTTTTAAACTTGCCACATTACTCACTGTATAAATATGTAAACATGCCGTATTACTCACCTTACTTGTAAAAAAAGTAAAAGTAAACATTAAAAAAAATGTAATTTTTGCACTTTATCGGAAAAAGTGAGTTGAGAATACGGAAGAGAGTCGTTGTTTATTATTCTTTCAATCTTTTTCAAATTCACACTTGTATATTTCTTTCATTTGCTTTTGTCACCTTCGTTATTTTGTTCTATCTAGCTGTTTCTTTATCCTCAAATGACGTATACAAGACAAGAGATAAGAAATGGTACACCTATACTTTTTTAAGAGACGCGGCGAGTGTGTGTGCGTGCGCGCGCGCCGGGAAGTAAACAATAGGAACGAGTAGCGCGTAGATCGGTTGCGTGTTTAGACGATATTTAAAGCGGCGCCGATTCTGGCGTCGCTTCAGAAGACAAAACAAAATCTGAGAGAGAAATTTAGAAGACACACCGAGAATCGTGAATCTCCGGTCACGGTCGAGAACGACAGAAGTTTTTTTTACGAATACGACTAAAAACATAACCTTGTATTTCCGTCGCCGTCGCCGCGCAAATGTGACATTTTTTCGCGTTTTAAGGACCGCGCGCAAAGCCGCCGATTGTTGTTTTGACGAAGGACGATCGAACGATCTGAACTGCGTGATCGATGTGAACGCGCGAACGAGAAAACGAGAGAAAAAACATGTGCGACAAGTATGTTATCGGATATTGGGTACCCGAGAGAAAACGGCAAAAGTTTAATTGGACAGATTTCGAAAAAGTTTGCAAAACCGAAGGATTCGAGTTGAAATTGGTAAGTTAAAAAAAAAACTCGCCCTTCATTTGTACATTAAGACGTCTTGATTCGAATCTTGTTTTGTAATTTGTTTGCTTGCTCCAGTCTGTACTGAGAGATTTTTTACACATCTGTTTTGGGAAGAATTTTACACTTAACAGATTATATGTTTTTTTTTGTGTGTGTTTTTATTCGGACCTTGGTTGTACGTTTTTTTTTTTTTTTTTAATTATTTGCGCGCATATATTTATACTAACGACGTACACAATATGCAAGCGAACGGTGTGATAATGACTTTAAGAATAACAATAATATAATGGCTTTGCGGTATACATAAAGATATCGTTATCTGTGAGTATGTTTTGAGATATAGAACAGTGGTCTTTTAATATCTTTTAAGCTTCAATCTGTGTTCTTAGATCGATGTAAATTCAAGCCTCGAAAAACAGGGACCATTACATGTTTTTCTACACAAGCTGACAGAAACACAATCCCATGCGGAAAAAGGAGATAAGAGTGTAAGCGACAATGTTCACAGTGATATCTCATATCTACTGTTGGAAATATAATGATGTTTTGCACAAATATATATATATATGTATATATATATATGTATGTATATATATATATGTATATTTTATTATAGGCTACAGATATTATTTCACGAATTGAAGAGTACATTGCCAAACATCCTGACCTGATTGTTATTGATGCTCTAGATAATTTTCAAAACTTACGCAGTCGGGGTAGAACTTACGAATTTATACAAGAGGGCATTCGGTGTAAAGGTATATAATGTTTGTTTGTTCTTCGTAATAAAATGCTGAAAAAAAAACTGTGTAATGTTAGATTGTAATTTATTATTTTTCAGATATATTTACTCCCAACTTTGTAGAGATCAAAAGCAGAGACGTTTACGAAATAGCGTTAACATTAAAAAAACGTGGTATTAAGTATCCATTTGTTTGCAAGCCCCTCATTGCGTATGGTTCAAGTGACGCGCACAAGGTAAGTATTTTGTGATAAGTACAACAAGATTTAAAGATGAAAGGAAAAAGAAAATTCGAGGATTGGAAAAATAAACAACTTGATGTTCGCAATTTTAGATGATGATCATCTTTGACGAAGAGGACTTGAAAGACTGTCAACCACCTTGCGTTGCTCAGAATTTTATCAATCACAATGCTATTTTATACAAGGTATTTGTCGTGGGCGATCATTTTCACGTGGTCGAGCGTCCTAGCTTCAAGAACTTTTATCAGGAAGACTGTAATTTGTTAAGTACAATATTCTTTAATTCACACGATATATCGAAAAGTGGGAGTAGATCCAAGTGGTCTGTACTGTCCGAACAAGACATTCCTTTAACCGCGAAACCAAATTACCAAATATTTGAAACTATTGTTAAGAGTGTTCAGAAAATATTTGGGCTTATTCTAGTTGGCATAGATGTAGTAATTGAAAATCACACTGAGAAATATGCGATAATAGATGTCAATGTGTTTCCTGGGTACGACGGTTACCCGAATTTTTTCGAGCATTTAACTGACAGCATTAAAAAATTGTTGATAGAGCGAAGAACAAAGTGTAGACAAAGCTCTAAAGATTGTATGTTGAAAAAATGTCAGAGCGACGATCTAGATTCCGATTTTACGACGAGAAAAGAAAATGTTCCACTACGTAAGTGCATAATATGTGATAGATAATATTGAAACAATTAAGTTACAATTGGTTGAGACAGTGGTATTGTTATCCGTCGTTATATTATTTTTTGCCATCTGGGTAGCTATTACGAAATTTTTTGAAATCGATTTTACTCGCAATGATTTCAACTTATATTTGTTTTTTTCCTTACATAGGAAAATAAATCAAATTGTTATAATTCTGAAATGATTTTATATATAATAGGTACCCTGATCTATATTATGAAAATATTATGCTCTTAGTGTTCGTCTCTTTTCCTGCTCCCCAGTTCCTTAATTTTTTTTTAAGGATAAAAACGTATAGAGTATATAATATAATACAATAATAAAAATGTTTTGTTACAATATAATCACCACGAAATGTGTGCATTTAAATAATCGTTTGCTACTTTAAATCACACATCTATTTTATATGTATTTTAAAATAAATTCTACCCGGTAAAATCAATATGTAAAGACAATGACTGCCAGAGAAGATATTTTGTACGTTTTATGTGTATACAATTTTGTATTTCTGCGTCGATGTTATACGTGCCTGTGTGTGCACTCGAACATGGAATATGCAAACGGACACTTAGAAACTAATCGGTCTGGTTGCGACAGTAACGTGATAACTGTATTTTCGCATAAATTAGACGAATAGCTTTTCAGATTTTGTTTGTTAAACGATGGTGTCGATTTCATATTTGAAATTTCTGTCGCAATTTTACCGATTGATTTCAAAATGACTAGAGATACCAGTGATATATAGTAAATTCGAAGAAATTCTTTTGTAAATTATACATACGTTTTATTCAGTTATGCATTGTATATAACATAGAACTCGATATTACCTGTTTAATTAATTTATATGTACATATATTTTATATATATATACATATATGTATATATGTATATGTGTGAATAAATTGTACAGAAGCATGGAAAAGAAACAGTTACTTCAAACAAGTGAGATGTATAATAAAGATTATATATTTTAAGATTTGCGTTAAGTATTATTAGTTTTTGGAAATATGTACTTTTTTTTCAAACAAGAACCTGTGAGAGGAAACCGTCAGTGACTATGTTTTGATTCGCGTGCGTGTTTCACTTTTTTGTCACTTAGGCAACGAAGGCGCTGCTGTAATCTTCATTACAGCATGAAAATACCGACTACCAGTATATGTAAACGCACTTGCACAGATTTTAGTCAAGGGATCGCGCTACGTACCATTGCATTCCTCGTTTCTACAGTGCGTGCAAGACATTCTGCATGTGGTTTTGGTTCTATATGAACGTATTTTCAACGCAAGAATATTATACTGTTTTTCATTCAACACTGGCCGATCCTGTTAGCAAAACAATCTGTGTGTCTGTTCGCCGAAACGTGAGAAGAAAAGAAAAAAGCTGAACGGAGCAGCTGACAAGAGCGAGTCAAGATGCAGGAATCTCAGTCGAAAAAGGGGAAAAAGGGTGAGTCAAATTGTCGATGTGGCAATGTGGAACACGACAGAGACCGAATTTCGCAAACTCGTTGAGTTTATACATATCAAAAACAATAACATATGTACTCTGTTTTTTGATGTGGCAAGTGTCGTCTGCTAACCTCCCTAACCTAACGTAACTTTAACCTCAATCACACGCTCGAATTACGTATGTAATGTGGATGGATGGACAAAATAAATGAAAACACACTCGTGACAATTTCATGTCACATGTAACTATTTGATGATATATTTGATATGAATGTTTGATGTGTGATTTCTATCGAATGTAACATTATATTTTGCAATATAGTCGTTACACTTACTTGTGTAACTTAGTCTAACAATAATGTCTTATTTCATGTTACATAAGTGAAACTTTATATTAGAAAGTGAAAGTTGTCCTTTCTTAACATGTATATATATATATATATGTGAAAGTTGATTCTTAAATTTAGATTTAAGATATTTTAATAACATTTATATCTTAACAATAGGGAGAAGAAAGCGCAATGATAGCGACGAGGATATTGAACAGGTATTGGCAGAGTTGGCACTGGAATATTCAGGAGAGAAACCAGTTAAAGACAATAAAATTGAAGACAAACCTGAATCAAATGAGCATAAGATTGAAGATGATGATAAGAAGAAAAAAGGGAAAAAGGATAAGAAAAAGGCTGAAAAGATTAATATAAAAGATGAAATTATAGATGCTACTACAGTAATAGCAGAACCGATTGATGTTGATGATGTGGATGATGAAGTTACTACTGTAAAAACTGCAGCACAAAAGAAAAAGGAGAAGAAAGAAAGGGAGAAACAGAAGAAATTAGCACAGAAGAAAGCTGTAAGTAGAAACAATGTAATATAATATATTTGGTTTATATACACATATGCACCTTTTCAGTAAGACTTTTAATAGATGAGTTTATATGTTATTGAAATATTTTTCATATTTATATTTTGTTACAATAGGAAGCTGAGAAAGCAGGTAAAGGTAAGAAAGAGGATGATGAAGCAATTAAACCTTCCAATGAGAAACAGGAAAAGGTAACTGAAAAGAAACAGAATAATGCGGAAGCTGACGGCGATGTTGCCGAACCTGAAGATGGCGCCAAGAAAAAAAAGAAAAAAGGTGCTAAAGAAGAAAAGGAAACTACTAAAGAAAAAGGTAATTTTATTTGCTAGCTATTATATTATTCAATCGATTATTTTTCTGACATAGCAAAATTTTGCAACAGGTAAGGGACCTGGAAAGAAGACCATTGCTGCTATGCAGGAAGCCTTAAGAAAATTGAAGGAAGAGGAAGAAAGATTAAAGCGCGAAGAAGAGGAAAGACTGAAACAAGAAATGTTACGGGAAGAAGCGAGATTAGAACAATTACGACTTGAACAAGAGCGCAAGGAAAAGAAAAAACTGAAAGAAAAACAACGAAAAGAACGATTGAAGGCAGAAGGAAAGTTCTTAACTACAAAACAAAAACAAGATAGAGCAAGAGCGCAAGCGATGATTGAAGCACTTAAAGCTCAGGGTCTAGACTTACCAGACGTAGGAGAGAAAAAACCTAGGCCAGGTATTTTGGAAAGTTTATATATAGAACATTTGACTTAAAGTTTTTTAATAAAAGCGTTGTACATTTTGAACACCGTTTGAATTATTTTAGGCACAAGAATTAAGCCGAACAAGTTAAAGCAGCAAGTTAGTGTAGAGAAAAAGGAAGAGGAAAAGGTTGAAGATGCGACACCCGCGGCTCAAGTGGAAGTAGAAATTGTAGATGAACCAGTGAAAGAAGTAAAAGAAAAGAACGAGGACGATGACGTGAAAGATACGTGGGATGCCGAAACTACTGAAGATGAGCAGGAAGAAGAAGGTATTGTTTTGTATATAGATCGTGAAATTATACACGATTTGTCAAGATCTCATTGGTTACGAGTTGATATAATCGAATTAATTAATTTTAGGTAAATTGAATGATGTTTTGAAAACGCCTGAAAAGGTGAAAGAACCTGTTATAAAATTAACGACCGAAGAGAAAAAGGAATCATCTGAAAGCGAATCAGAGAGCGAAAGCGGGAGCGAATTTGAATCCGAGGACGAAAGTGACGAAGACAGCGAAGTAGAAGATAAAGTGCCAGATGCCGCGCGTAAAAAAGAACGTGCGAGAGAACGAATTCAGAATCGCCGTGTAGAAGCTGAGAAAAATAAATCTTTGGATAATTTGAGAGCTGCTGTAGTTTGCGTCTTGGGACATGTAGATACTGGTAAGACTAAGATCTTGGACAAACTGCGGAGAACGAATGTGCAAGACGGCGAAGCTGGTGGAATAACTCAACAAATCGGTGCTACTAACGTACCAATCGAAGCCATCCAAGATTCAACAAAGCATGTGAAAGGCGTAAGTGCTTCATTACATGTAAAACGTACATATTCAAACGTAAAAATTCTTACATTCATTATTAAAAGCGTTTTTTTGTTTTTAGTTTGCTGACAAGAAATTTAAAATACCTGGTCTCTTGATCATAGATACGCCTGGTCACGAGTCATTTAGTAATCTTAGGAGCAGAGGATCTTCACTTTGTGATATAGCAATTTTAGTTGTAGATATTATGCATGGATTGGAGCCGCAAACCTTAGAAAGTATCAATTTATTAAAAGCGAAAAAATGTCCATTTGTTGTTGCTCTTAATAAAATTGACAGGTAATTTCTTTTTTTTTTTTTTTTGCATCAAAAATCAATAAATTTGAGCTACTTGCAATTGATAATGTGCAATTTATATGTAAGTTGTTGTGTTATGAGCTCACGACAGTAGATTCTTTGTAGGTTGTACGATTGGCAGACTATGAATCGTAAAGATGTTCAAGATATTGTAAAGAATCAAGCACCTAATACTCAACGAGAATTTGAAAAGCGATCGAAGGATGTGATCGTACAGTTTGCTGAACAAGGCTTGAATGCAGCAGTGTATTACGAGAATCCAGATCCTAGAAATTATGTTTCTTTAGTTCCCACCAGTGCTATAACAGGTGCAGTAACTGTACTACTACATAACTTTATGAGATAACCCTGAGACGTAGCATCTCTGGGGAATATGTGAGTGTTGTCATGTCAGTTTTACACGTCAGTGTATTACGATATATGCAGGCGAAGGTATGGGCAATTTATTGGCGCTGATAGTCGACGCTTGTCAGGGTCCTCTGGCTAAACGATTGATGTACAGCGAAGAACTTCAAGCTACCGTATTAGAAGTCAAAGCACTACCCGGTCTCGGCACCACAATAGATTGTATTCTAGTCAATGGTATATTGAGAGAAGGTGACACGGTTATCATTGCTGGAACGGACGGGCCTATTGTAACGCAAATCCGGTCGCTTCTTATGCCGCAACCGTTAAAGGAATTAAGAGTTAAGGTACTCTTTCACTTTTCTATATCAAAAATATGTAACAAAATATCAAAGCGTGAGAAAGAGGAAGAAAAAAAATTTATATATTTATGATTACGAATAAAAACAAAAGAATATAGGAAAATGAAAATTTTTTATCAGAAGTTAGAGAAAAACAATATGTATAATATACACTTGTGAATTATTTCAGAATGCATACATTGAACATCGCGAAGTCAAGGCTGCTCAAGGAGTGAAAATTGCCGCTAAGGATCTAGAAAAAGCCATTGCTGGTATGTAACAAATGTTTTTTTTTTTTTTTTTTTATATAAATCATAAAGATTAGTTCTTCGCGCGTTATAAAATGTATTTCTTTTTCGAGAAGACGAGAAAAAGTGAAGAGAATTATTAATGTTTTTATACAGGATTGAATCTGAGAGTGGCGCAAAAACCAGATGAAGTGGACGTCTTGAAGGAAGAAATAGCCAAGGAATTGTCGAGCGCTCTTGGAAATATAAAACTGGCCGAACGAGGAGTTTACGTTCAAGCGTCAACTTTGGGAGCTCTGGAAGCGTTGCTAGATTTCCTGAAAAGCAGCAAGATACCTGTAAGTACTCATCGGATTATGTTTTTATACGCTGTATAGCGTTTGCTGTTTGCTGTAGCATCATTTAATTTACAATGAAAATTAATGTATTAAGATTATATATATATTTTTCTTTATATCAAAGATAAAAGAAAAAATATATATATATAAAAACCGACACGCGTGTAGACGAATTAGAAGCAAAGAGACGAATAGACAGATCGGTAGCTAGATAGATAGACAGATGGAGAGAGAACAGCAGCAACAGCAGCAACAACGAACCACTTCCTTCTTAACAGTTTAGCAGGATACGGCTCATTGGTCGCGCACGATGCTTGTACTCGTGATCCATCGTACTATCAGCCGCGCCGTCCAATCGTGGACACGCCTCGTAGCTTTCTACAGGGTGTCTTATACATCACGTATCGACAAAAAATTCGCAACGTCCTTGTATCTCTCTCTCTCTCTCTATCTTTTACAGAAATTCTTTTTCATTTAAAGATAAGTTTTTAAATATATATATATATTACTGCTTTTTATATTAAAATTTAAATGAAACTAAAATTGACTGAAGTGAAGATTGTTCGTCTTGAAAATTTATAAATCTTTTTTTCTTTAATTAATTGTAACGAACGTAAATTGTGTTTTGATAACTTTTTCGATAGTACGATCCGAATCGTCGTTTTATCGAAACGTTTGTAAATTATTTGCAGAAACTTTTTATGTTGATACACACAAATACGTCAATCACGGAGTACATTATTTACGAGAAAGTTACAGCTGTCTCCGACGCGCGATATGTGACATATCTGCTCGTTCCCATCAGGCCGGACTTGTATATTTACATAAGAGCGTCGCGAAGTATGGTAAAAATGTTCCGTTATCTCGGAAGAGCCGAGATATCATTCACAAGAAGTTTCAGCCACGCTACAAATGACCGTAGTAGTAGAGAGACGATATATTCCGCGGGGTGTTCGCGTACATACATATATCTCTGTCTCTATGTATACATATATTTTCTCCTCCCATTCCCCCGCGTTTCGTTCGCGCCCATTGCTCCTCTCGATGATCGTTCAGAAATATTTTTCCGCTCTTTTTTTTTTTTTTTTCCTGGTCTTTGGCGATGCCGCGCGGAAGAGCTACGAACATGGTAAAAACTTCCTGTCATCTTCGGCTCGAGGTAACACACCGTCCGAAACGGCCTTAAGCCTGTCCTTGCTCGGGTTATGAATGGGCTCCCCCTACCGCGATCGCACGATCACGTGGCCCCGTGACGTCAGGTTTATCGCACGCACACGCGAGAAACATGCACGCACGATTGTCCGCCCCTTCTCTTCCTATTCCCCGTCCTCTCTCTTTTCTTCTCTCACCACGTCCTCACCACTTCCTCACGTGCACACAGAGGCACGTTTCCTTGAGAAGTGCGAAAAGGAGGAGGAAGAGAGAGAGAGGCAGAGTCCAAGTATCACGGAGAGGCCGGTCATGAGGGGGTGGAGGGGAAGAAGGTTGGCGAGCTAAACTCGCGCAACACATACGTGGCGAGGTGCCTCTCCTCTTCTCTCCTCTTTTTCCCTCTTTGTCTTTCCTTCTCTCTCTCTCTCTCCGAACGCCTCACTTTTGCCAATATGGTGGCTGCGAGCGCGCCCGCGGACGTGTGTAGGCTGGTAAAAAGGAATACGTGATCAACGTACAGGAAACTGCCCACACTCGGCGCGCAAGCACCGTGGGTGGACAGACCGACGGACGGACGATTCAAAACTCGTAGCAGTTTCAGCACGAACGATGCGCGACGTTGCGAAAAAAAAGCAAATATGAGCAAATGTTTGCAAAACTTATGCGAAATCGCATAGGCTGGAAAAAAATGCGCGAGATATTTTGCAAGTTTTAGAGAGAGAGAGAGAGAGAAAGAGAGTTAACAGGAGATTTACTTAATTTGTTAAAAGAAATATAGAAGTACAAATTAATGCTTGCGAAACTTCGCGATTGCCGCAATCGAGCGTGTCGAAATTGAGATTTTATTTGATTTTTTTTTTTTTGCGCTATACATATTTATTCACCTAGAATTTGTTTGAGAATAACTTTGAATTATGTTTCGTTCTCTAGTAACAATTCGTGCGAATATATTTCGTACTCATTGCGTGAAGGAGAGAATCTTTCAGATTTTATAAATATAAATGAAGCATAAACACACACACACACACACACACACGCACGCATGCAGTCTCTTCGCTCAATAGTACGGTTTATTACGACTACAAGGCAGGAAGACATAACTTTTAGATTCATTGAGCAATATGAAGCCGAGAATCAATGTAGAGTGTCTTTAGGTCAAGAATACTTAGTGACCATGAAGATGTTTTTTAAAAGACTTCGGAGAGCCACTGCCTCTCCGTGTACGACTCGGGCGCTGTGTATTATTACGGGCACGTATACCCGACGCGTATTTGCGTAATTAAACGGCATGTGGATGCCTTCTTTGCGATCGATACGAAGAATATGGCGTTGTTTGAATTAACAATTCTTATCGTTCGCGCGTTTTTATGTCTCAAACCTGTTGACGAACGGACGAATCGAAATATACAACGCTTTTTAATTGAACGATTATCTGCTTTACACACACACACACGCGCGCGCGCGCATGTTTAGCGCACGTAGATATTATCTGTTCGGTAGTTGCACGCGGCTTGTAATAATAACAATCGCGAACAATTCGAGAACTCGTTCAAAGAACACTTTCGCGGATATCGTCATTTTATTAATAAACCGAAATTGTTACGCGAACTGTTACATAACCGCCCCGATGTTATTTAAACTGGTACGTGTATATACGTATTTGTTGTTGTGTGACGATATTATTTTCAAAACTGCGTAATAACCACGCGTGCGTATCGTAATATTGCGCGCGGTATGCTGAGTGAATATGCTAATTATCGCCGCGCATCTCTCGCGTAACTGAACACGAGAAGATTCAAAGAATTGTTTCAATCAAAAAACGAATATATCGTCGATAACACGATCATTCGCATGAGAGACTTTTTTTATCGCGAAGTCGCGATAAAAAAAGTTATCGGGGTGTACAAATATATTTCACGAAATAATAACAAATACTACATTTCTCAGATAAGAGATCAGTTAAAACGTATCGAGACAACGTTGTTTATCGCATACGTGTAAAACTATAAAAAAAAAAAATATTTGATCAGAGCCTTGCTCAAGTTCTTCCTGTGACTCTGAAAAGTGGCGAAAAGATTGTTTTATCGACTGCATTATTTGGACACTAAAATCAAGTTCTTTCTTCGTACGCCACCCTGTATGTCTTGCCTGGCTGAGAGTTGATTCGATGCGTTTTCTTGAAAGCGCGTATCCAGCCGGAGCGGAGCGCGCGGACTCTCGTCGTTACGAGCGGACGCGGAGTACGCGTTCCTCGGCTCCGTTTCAATGTGAGCACAACAGGAAAAGATGGTTCGCTTCCACGCATTGTTTCGGAATTGCTTCGGCACGACAGCGGCTTCTTTACACCGCCCGGTTATGCATTATAAAGAAGTTCCCTCGAAACGAGACTGATGCATTTTTATAACCACCGCGCGATATCTATCGCTCCTGTCTAACAAATTGCACAATCCGCAGTAATTAAGACTTCCGCCTCGCCGACGACACATTTTTTCGCTTCTTTTTTTTTTTTTTTTTTTTCGAAGTTTTATTTGTCGGACAAAATACGCGTGTTTGAAATTCGTCGCGTTCAATTTTATTGCGGCTCGCAAGCTGAGACAAACTTGACTTCAATTGCGTAGATCCGGAAGATAATTGACAGAAATATATTTTATAGATAAATTGCATCTCATTATTTTTATCGAAAGACTAAAATAGGAGATTTAATCATTTTTTTGTTTCCTAAGAGCTAGAGCGAATTGGACGCGATTATCGCGTGCAACTTTGCCGGAGATCTCAGATTTTCTTCATTATTCTCTTCGAAAGTTTGCAAGTCGGTTCGGATCGCGCATCTTCCGCTACCTGCGTCTATCGTGTGCACACGTCGTGCCAATCGAGGCGGGCGGAAGCTTCTCTTTCGCGCCGCGCCGCGCCGGTGCGGTGCAGCAGGAAAAGATGGCTCGTTTCCTCACATTGTTTCTAACCGCGGCATATGAGCGCATGTGCCGGGGACATGGGAGCGGATGCGGGGCGCGAGCAAACGAGCGCGAAACGCTCCGTCGCGTTGCGTTTTCACCAGGCGATGTTCTGAAGAAGACTGATGATCAGCGTGTTAAACATCACACGGATCTCGGCTAATTTCGCCAAAGTTTCAATTTTCCTCATCCCCGAGTCTTTGCGAAATATATTCTTACGATCTCGGCACGGTTTTTTTTTTGCTCACCTTGGGAAGACGGTTCTTATTCAATTTTCAAGATTCTCATCTTCTTAAATTTTTTTATTTACACGGGTACTTAACCATTTATTGGCCAGAGGCTACATATTTTAAGACTCGAGCTGTTCGCAATTTTAAAATTATGTTTTTTTATCTGACGTATTTTCTCCTCGATCTAATAGTGCTGCTTTATCTTTGCTTATTTATTTTCGTGATAAAATCGTCACAAGGACGCAAAGATACTAAAAAACAACAGACCGTGAGAAGTAATTTTTCTCGTTACACAGCACAATAACTTCAATATTTAATTAATATTAGTTATTTTATTTCTAGCAGTACGTACATAATTTATTTACTAATATTTCCTTATAAAATTGTTTGCGAAGATTGCAAAATGCATATGTGGCGCGCGTATCGTCGAATTTCGAGATTCGGTTTCGAGGAGAAGATTTGCATCTTGCATGTCTCGTCCTTGGGCGACGCTAATCGTACTCGCGGGCAGGATACGGGAGGCGAGTTTAATAAATTAGCGTTTCCTTCTTCGGCGAACGTGCCGCGAACGTTACGACGAGAGGCTAAAGAGGATCCGTGCCCCGACGGCTGGTTTTAAATGCCGGAAGCACCCTCCCTTTTCCCCTCCTCACCCCGCCGGTCCCCGTTCTTTACACCGGTCTTCCCCTCGCCCCGCTTCGTCTTACTCTTCCTTCCAACTTCCTCCCGCTTATACCGCAGCGGCGTTTCTTTCGCCGGCAACATCTGCCGTGTCCGCCTTTTCTCGTCCTACTAGACCTCTCTCCTTTTCTCCCATCTCGTCGTTTCTCTCCTCTCTTTCTCCCGCACTCGACTTTTTTTTTTCCGCCGCACAGCACCTCTCTCCGTACTACTCCCTCTCTTACAGAGCATCCGTTCTTCTCCAAAGCGAAGTATCGTCACACAACTCGCAAATCGTTACGAATTTTTATCGCAGTTTCAAAAGAAAAATTAGAAAATTTATCTTATACGCGCACACACGTCTACTTCGCTCGTTCAATTTACAGACACACGATTTTTCTTTTTTCGCAAGAAACTTTTGAAATAAAAATTGTTTTATTTGATTTTAAAAAAACATTTTAGAGAGGATAGTTTTGTTATGTCGAGACCAAGAGAAAAAAGGGAGATTAGGGCGCTCAGATTAGCCGTGTGTGTTTGCCTTTGATTCCGGCGATGATGGCGTCGGAGTGGATTTTCTCGGTAAAGCCGCGAAACGGCGCGGCTTGTTTGTGAACACATCGTCGCGTTTATTTCAACGTGGTGTTGCATCGCGTCGTGTCGCGCGTCTCGTGTCGCTCCGTCTCGTTGCACCGTACGACCGAATCTGGACGGCATGCATGCGTCACTGGTTATTTTTGCCTAGTCGTACACACGTACGTACGGATCTCTTCGGGATTCGTGGTGTTTCGGAGGCAATACTTCCAGGAATTCCGTCCACCGCGAAATCTAGCGCGATTTAAATGCATCAGCACAATGTGCGATTGTTTAGATTTGCGAGCGCAAACGAGGACGTGCATATACGGTACCGATGAGGAAACGTGCGTACTGTTTATTTAGACTCTTTTTTTTCTCGTCAACAAAACCGAACATACACCGTAATACACACTCAAAAAAAAAAAACAAAAAAAAAAACAATTTATTTCACGTCTGAAATAATTGCGACGCGAAATATAAATTTGTTTGGCAAACTATACTCGTGTGTGTGAGCGCGCGCGCACAATTTCCTGTTTATTCTCAGAACAGATACTCTGTCGCAAGTTCTTTTTTGCGTACATCCGCGCGTGGTTTGTACGAATATCGGCGTCAATAAAACGTCACATTGTACGTAAGAACTATCTACGTATCTCTCTCTGTGAAGAGATGACAAGTGCAAAAGTCGTCCGGCCGTTAGATCGTTATTACAACAGTCGTCACTGCCTTCTTCATCACGTGAGAATGCGCGAAATAACGTAACGCGCGCGCGCGAGAAAGAGAGAGCAACTGTGTAATAATGTTTTACCAAGATGACGGTTACGATTGTACGTTGTCGAGCGAAATCGGAGCGGACTTGCGTAATAACGTGTTCGACGACGCTGCCTGATACGTTTGACACGAATCTCTCGTTAGCTAACATTAGCATCATTTTTGGTTTTTTTTTTGTTTTTGTTCGCAGTACTCGGGAATTCGCATCGGACCGGTCGTCAAGAAAGACGTCATGAAGGCCTCTATAATGCTGGAGCACGACAGCCAGTAAGTACGCTTGGCTTATCATTAACAAGAATTTGTTGAATTGTCATTTGTTTGTTAGAAGTCATTTCGGAAAACAAAGATGTGTTGAGAAACAAAACAAAAATATTGGTTTTGCTTGTTGTATGAAATGTAAATCTGTTTTTGATGAAGATAAATTTGTTTACAGATACGCCACGATTCTCGCGTTCGACGTGAAGATCGAAAGGGACGCGCAGGAACTGGCGGACTCACTGGGCGTCAAGATCTTTCAGGCGGACATTATTTACCATCTGTTCGATAAATTTACCAATTATCGGGAGGAGCTGAAGCAGCGCAAGCGGGACGAGAACAAGCACATCGCCGTGTTCCCGTGCAAACTGAGGATTCTACCGCAGGTGAGTGCGCGCGCTTCGCGTGTCTTCATCTATTAAAGAGCGAGAAGACCTCAGCGATAAGCATGCAAGCGTCGCGATTTAGAACTCAAACCCAGGCCCGTTTAAATTTTCAGTACGTATTCAACTCGAGAGATCCGATCGTGATCGGCGTGATGGTCGAGGCTGGAATCGTCAAGGAAGGAACGCCGCTTTGCGTCCCGAGCAAAGACGTGAGTAGACTTAACACATTTCTCTTCCTCTCTCTATCTCCCGATGAGTTCTTCTATTCGCGAATCTCGCGCGCACGATCGTCTCTTCGTGTTCGCGATTATTAGAATATGAACCCATTGGCGGGTAAATTTCACATGTCGTAAGAACGCTACGCTAAAAGTATTGCAATTTGAACAGGCGACCAATTTAATGTGAGAACATTTTAATTACCGAACACATTTGGGACAGGAGTGTTGTTTATTTGGAAGCGAGAAAAAGTTGCGAGAAATTTCGTGCAAAGAAGCTCGATATCGCGTCAGTCTCTCGACGTCTCATATATATGGTAGAAAAGTTGACAAAATCTTTCGCGCGCGTTCGAAACCGGTGCGATTCGTCAGCGGCGCGTACCGAAAATAACGTCGGACATATACAATTACGGTGGTCGGAGAGATTAATGAAATTTACGCTGAAGGCCCGCGGCGAAAATTGAATTCGCGCGCTCCGAACGGAAAGATGAATGGAAGAGAGATGGAAAGGGGGAGAGCGAGAAACGAGATACAGGCCGTATGTGTAACTTGTACTTGTGCAAAGTCGGTGGAAGTTGCGATCGGACCAGTTCTGGAGCGGAGAGCGGTAACCGAGAACTATCGGGCGGTGTGCGTAGGTGAACTCGTTCGGCGGAAGTACGGCAATTCAGTCGACCGATCGATCGCGTCGATCGAGCGGGCGGACACATAAACCGCTCCGGGCCGACCGGTCGACATTCTCGATTTCGCTCTCTCACTCCCGTAGGTGGATTTGATCAACCGTAGAATATATATCTCTCTCGCTTTTTCTCTGTCTCTTTCTCTTTCCTCTGTGTTCTCTCCTTTCCTCTCTTCCGTCCCCGTAGGTCTTTCCCGTAGGAGGAACCGGGTAAGTAGCTGGCACCCCCGGCCTCGCCTTACGCGGTAGCGCGCGAAACGCGCGTTGCAGGTTGCCTAGGCACGGATCCCGTAGGCGTCGCGATGCCATTAGCGGCACGCAAATTCCCGACGGACAAAAATCCGAAATATATTCTCCCACCGGCATTGCGGTGGCGCACCCACGCGCTACGCGCAATTAATGATTTAACGCGCGACCGGCTCTCTGTCACCGCAAGATATCTTTTCTCGGTTGTAAATTCGAAATTTCTTCTCGTTCGTGTTTTAATTCTCTTGTTGCATCTGAAAAAAAAAACGCGAGAGGAGTTTGATGAAATCTCAAATATCTTCTCATCTTTGATTTATCTTTGATCAAATTAATTCAATATGCAACCTTAATACGTTGCGCATGTACTCGTTGAATCTTTGTCTTTCGCAAATGCTCAATGAAACGCGCAATGATCGTTCTCTGTGTGTTGAATTCGTAGAATTCAGCGATTTGCGAGTTGGCTCGCACAAAGGGAGGCGCGCGCGCGATAGGCGTTCCGAAATCTTCTGCGTATAGAAAACAGTTTCCGACCACGCGTTATCTGGGCCCACGCGATGTGGTTCTCCGCGTGTGGAGATCCCTTGAGATTCTCGAAACAATCTCCTCACGCGTTGTCGGATTCTTAACAATGTTTCTCAACATTTTCTGGCGAACGTTTTCTCAGTGCACTGGAAATCAATTTCGCAATAAATCTATCGATTTTGCGCGCAACGTATTACTTTTTCCTCGCGCTTCTTCGTTCCTCCGAAATCTCACACGTTTCGGATACTTGTCAATCGCTACAACAAAGCGATTGTAGAAAACTCGAGATTTAACGTGAAAATCACGACCTCCGGTCGGGAGCGTTCAATCATGCTCTCGACGATGACCCGATGATTATCCCGCGTATCCATCGAGTCTCACGAAACCTCAGTTAGCGCAGGTCAGTTTACGGCCGAACTTCTTTGTCGCGCAACCGGATGTGCGTCGTCGGCGAAGAGGAATATGTGATATCGCGACGCTTTCTTTCGCGGCTTACGGACGGAAGAAACGACGTGAGTAGCGACGACGTGAGTTTGCAAGCACCCGACGGATTTTTCGATCGCGATGCATTTGACGAAAAGCGAGAGAGAGAGAGAGAAACATCGCGCGCGAAGATTTGCATGTGTTAATTTTCGCTCAATGACGCTTCGTCGTGTCGTACGTCTTTTTTTTTCTTTTTCTCCGATTTTTTTTTTTTTTATAAAGTACACAAAATACGTACCACAACAAGTCGAGATTTAATCGCCGGATGCAATTTCTTTTGCCCGTCGATACCGCCGATCGACAGGTGTGTTTTTCCGTTCGCGCGCGATCGGTTTAATAAATGATTAAATAGCGGCGCCACGAACTATCGAATCTCTTTACTGTAGACTCGCCGCGCATTCTTTCTTTTCCGAGAGATCTTTTCCTGTCGCACGTACTCGGCGAAAAAAAGGACGAGGATCTCGAAAAGAACACACGCTTCGAGAGGAAGTTGACACCTGTTCATCTGTCTCTCTGCTTCTCCTGTCGCGACGTTTTTTTTTTTTTTTTCTTTCATCGTGAATTATCGAGTAGTTAACACACGCGCGTTCTCCGCCACACGCACGTCGAGCCCGCAGTTACGTTGCGTAACGTGGCTTTTAATGCCGAGCGGAAATCTGACAGATTTTTTTCCGACCTAAAGGTTTCTTACTTCCTCTTCGTCTCTTTCCCTCTCTCCCCCCATCCTTTCGTCTTATCTATTTTCCGCCAACCGAGCAATGGACTGACAGGTCGATTATTCGTTGATTCATTCGTTCGCTCGTTCGTTCATTCGGTTGTCCGGTGGTGAGTTCTACTCAATGACCCGAGAACATAGAGTCACGATAACGCCGTGCTTTTTTTTTTATTCTCTCTCTCTCTTTCTCTTTCATTCTCACTCCGCGCTCGGTATGGGAGTAGATCTCGGCGCGTTTCACGATTGGATAGTCCTGGCGGAAATAAACTTTGCTGTGTAAAAGCATCGTTTCTGCTTCTTGTGTTCGCGATCTTCGCGCGCTCCGGTTTTATATGTATGTTGTTTTTCCAGTTTCTTCTGTTTCTTATACTTTATCAGAACGACAAAGTTAACCGTGTTTACAGCACGCCAATTAGATACAGATAAACGATACGAGGAACTTATCGGTCGGTTGAATTACTTCAGAAGACGTCTCTCTCTCCCGTCAACAAAGTCAATAAACACATCGTTAGAAAACTCAATCAAATCCGAGATAATTGTTTAATCTAACACACATTGTGTGTGATAAAAATAAAAATTTCAATCAATATATCTAAGAAAACTATCGTTTTGAGATTTAAAAATAAGAGATAAGTCTGTAGAGATAGTGGTTATGAAGACGTGTCCTTTCGAGTTAGTGTTCCTCTGAGAAGCAAGTGCTTGAGCGAAGTAATAGAGAGAGAGAGAGAGAGAGAGAGAGAGAGAGAGAGAAAGAGCGAGAAAGAGAGAGAGAGAAAAGCGGAAGCCCTTTATCGTAACAAGTTCAACAACACGCTATCGTGACGCGAGAAACACGATCAACGTTGGTCGTCGCATCAAGCGCGCGTTCGCTCGATTCTCAATTCCCGACACGACGATGGTTTATAATGCATTCTCGGAGAGACGAGGATGCAAGAATATTACAACACATACGAGGATGTTAAAAATAAAATAAAATATGCTCTTAAATGTGCTTAAGCGAAAAAACTATTGACTTCATATTATAGCACAAGTAGATGTATAAAAAATTAAATAAGATAATATTATTCGACGGATGAGAAAATCGAACGTTCTGTGTCGCGACATCTTGTGGCGATTTTCAATCCAAAAAAAAAAAATAAATAAATAAAAAACAATGTCTTGAAAAAGATCTCGAAGAATTTAAAACGCATTTTACTTAAAATTGCATTCATGTAGTGAGCGAGCGACAGGAACTAGAAACGTTCTGGTGCACGAGTCCTCTTCCGGCGGAAAGGCAGCCGTTCTTCCTTTCTCTCTCTCTCTCTCTTTCGTCTTATTCTCTCCTTCCTCTTTTCCGCCCTGCTCCTCCGCCTCTTCTTTCTTTTCCTTGGCGCACACGCCGTGGCATGGAAATTCGCGCGGCGGGCGGATAGGAATTTCAAGCCGAGGGTATCTGTCTATTGAAGAGGTATTCAGACCGCGACGTTTCGCAATTGTTCGCAATGCAACGCGCCTGTGTTATTCTCAAGTACAAACGCGAGCTCCTACATGAAAATTATCTCTCTCGACTCCGGTCTTTTTGTCTGCGATTCGCGAGCCACGTGAGAAGTGTCTTTTACGAAAAACCGCCGGATTACGTTTCGATCATATCTTTCGCCAAAGACAAAAAGTACGACAACAGGTACTTTGCGAATATGATTTTAATAGTCGAAAATCTTTTAACGTGAGAATAACGAACAAAACAATCGATTCGTTGTCAAGCTTGAAAAGCGGCTTGATCGGCGCGTATCAAAGAATCAACGCTTATATTCTTAGCGTTCTAGCACCACACCCTTCCCTCGCTCGCTGTATCGCGAGTAACAACTACGTCTATCGTTGTTCTAAAGGACGAGCGTATCCGACAGGATTTATTGACCCGAACCGTCCGACAAATGATAAACGGCCGGAAGGAAGCCAGAGGCGTTTCTACGAAAGCTACCGACAACGCGGGCCGGAAGACGCCGGGATGTAGCCTGCGCTGAGTAAGCGCTGTGAATGTGCGCGCCGTGTGACGTCTTTCCCTCTCTTCTCATCTTCTTCTAAAACGTCGCTCTCTTTCTTTCCTGTCTTTTCTGCTCCAAAAATCTTTCTTATCCGTTTTCTTCATTCTTATTTTTTTTCTTCTAAGCATCGTATTTCGTTGGATGTTTGTTCCGCACGTGTACGAGCGCGAAAAAATTTTTGGCGTTGTCAAACGTTTTTCGGATTCGTCACTGTTCGACAGGACGGGAAGGCAAGGGAGGAAACGAGAGGAAAAACAGCGAACGGAAGCTAGTACGGGGAGGAAGAGGAAATGACCGGGCCGGATACGAGGTTTCCGATGTCGGCCGGGATCGTTTTACAGGCGCGCGTCGTTGGCGATTTCTGCCAACGACGGTGAAAAAAATACGGGAAGGAATAAACAGGCACACACGGAGGGGGGGAGGGGGAGAGAAACATAGAGTTCTAAATTAACCAACACTAAATATGCGCGTTTTGCCGCGGAGGCGAGATACTCGTTTAGCTGTATGTATTTTTAACGTAAGCGTGACTCCGACCTTAATTGCATAGATTTCAGGCCAATTAAGTTTTAAGCGAGTCAAGCTCATTGTCAGTAATTGCTCCGAATATATATATGTGTGGAAAAATAGAAAAAAATGCGCATAAATATGAATACACATATAGATAAGATAAGAAGTTGCTATTATTTAGTCAGTTTTCTTTTTTTTCCTCTCTCTCTCTCTCTCTCTCTCTTTCTTGAGCGGTCTTCTTATCAATAGTTTAACAACTCGGTTTGGTTTCCGTTACGCTTTGCAAATTATGTAATTATAATTGTGTAATTACATATATTTTATATATTTACATACATATATATGTGTGTGTGTGTGTGTGTGTATAATTACATGTGGCGCAAGCAAGATGAGGACGCGACGTCGAAAAGTCGACGGATAGAGCGGTTAGAGCCACTGACTCTCGTCGCACGAACTATAAAGCCTTCTAAATTGGTGCGGCCCACGAAAATAGACTTCCGGTTCCCGTGTCGAGGCGCGTTGCTCGCTCTTGCTCACCGAGACGCGCCGTGCCGCGACACGCCGCGTCTGCTATCTAGTATGCCGACTCCTCCCTCTGTTCCGTCTGTCTCTTGACGAGCGATAAATACGCGCACGTATTACGACAGAGACCGCGAGAGCGTTCGTATACACATCGCCTCCGCGCGCGCGAAAATAATTTCCAACATATTATGTCGCAAAACCGGCGTTAAGATAAAAATAAATAAAAAAAAAATAAAAAAAAAATAAAAAAAAAAAAAAAACAGAAGTGTGCGGATCGTTCCGTGAAAATTTACGACGAACTAAGCTTATCGCTTGTATATTCTCACTCGCGCGAATAGATAACGATTTAACTTGCACGAAATGACGTGGAAGCAATAAGTCTTGTATGTAAAGTCCGGCTGCATTGAAATTAATGTAAATTACGACAACAACGCCGCGCGTATCGGCGGAAAAACGTCTCGTAAACACGTAAATTTGCACGCTTCGCGCGCGAATATCCCACACGATATCCTTCACCTGGTGTTTTTTTTTTTTTTTTTTTTTTAAGGACGATACTTCACTTATATATTTATAAGCTTTAACGCGAAAGAGAGAGAGATGTGTATTTTTCGTGATTAACGGTCTCGATATGTCTGAACGAACCGATAACAGGACGTCACGTGACGCGATCTATCTACATATCTTATACGAGAAGTTATCGGGGAGAAACAGCGCCGGCAAGTAGGTTAGACAGTTTTTAAACATCGAAGAAAGAGAGTAGTCGGAGAGATAGAGAGAGAGAGAGAGATAAGAGACATGTGCACCGCTTTTCCGTTTGTGGTCTTCTTCTTCGCATCAGCCGCATCATCGGTGCTTTCTGCTGCCCACGTGTGGCGTGTGAGATCTTGGTGTCTCTCAAACACTTAAAGCCGAGATAAATCTAAAGTGGACGGCCCACGCGCGTACATACGTACACACGAGACCCGCAAAAGACGGCAAAACCTGTTGCTTTCTCTCTCTCTGTCTCTCTTTCTTTCTCTCTTTTTCTCCCTCTCTCTCTTTCTCGCTCTATTGAAATGTTAGTCGTAAAAGGCAAAGCGCGTCGATAAAGTCCCGTAATGACTCCCGTAATTTCAGAAGACGGGGGCTGATTGCGAGTCGAGCTGTGCGATCGCAGTGTTTTGATTTTAGCAAATATGCGACATCGATCAGAAGTAATCGTCTCTCCGGAAAAGAGAGAGACGATAATTTGTACTAATTACCAACGCACACTAGATAGTAAAGAAAATCTATGATACAAGATAAGAAACGAAACCTAACTCGAGACTTGATTCAATCACAAAAATGAGTTTTTTTTTTCTTCCGGTGATAAGAGTTTTGAGCGAAGAAGGTCGAACATTTTTCGCGTATTGATCGATCAAAAAAGTTTTTTACGCTGTCGTGTACGTTATCGTTGTCGAGGGGGGGAAAAAAAAAGAAAAGATAATGGAAATTGAATTCTCCGACGGGCTTTTATCTTAAAAACTTCGAGCGGTTATAATGGAGAGCGAGAGAAGGAAGGCGAACGGATGGGCTTGAAGAAAGGGCAGAGAAGGTCGAGACGGAGGACGAACAAGGTTCGTTTGCCTGTGTTACCTATATGGTAATTCCCTTCGGTCGCGACGGCGTGCCGAGAATTTGACGACGGGGGTACGCCATAAAAATACACTAGAAGAGAAAAGAAGACCGGACAAGCATATTGGCGAGCATGTCCTTTTTTTTTATTTATTTGATTTTCTTTTTTTTCTTTTCGTATCCCAGCTGATTACCTTCGAAGCGCTTTTTTTTATTTACACAAAAAGGACTGAAATGTAGTCGGGTAATTGAAAAGATGCAGGATCTCTCTTACAATCTCTTATCAATCAAATTGTAAGCCTGTTTGTTTATTTGTTCTCGCATGAATTTGAAAGTATAAGAACTTGAAGAACTCAAATTGTAACTTACATTTCTGTAAGTTTACTTAGCGATCAAAACCGCAAACAAGTGTCAATCGATCCGAATTGTCAACGTACGAATTTCGCAAGCAATCTAAGATAAAAGTTTTGCAATGTGATTGTTTATGCGCGACGACCAAATTCAATTTCGTCGATTTTGCAATGCGGGGCAACTTATACGGTGTGTTATTTCGCGCGCGCGCTTGTTCATTCAAGGAAGGGCTGAAAAGCAACGTCTCGGTTATTGGTGTCTCGGCGCGGTGAGATATTGTGCGGCTCGTCGAGCGAGCATATTGCTCTCTTGGCGTGGGTTTCGGAATACACGGGCGAGCATATTCGACCGGTCATTGTCCACCTTAACGATAACATGCCAGCCTCTCGTGGCCGGCGCGAGATCTCGCAATCCGTACACCTTGTTTTAAATTCGAACGACATTTTATTCTTTGTTTCTTTTTTTTTTTTTTTTTTTTTTTTCTTAACAACGGAATTTAGATTTCCTAAATAATGACGAGCAAGCATCGTCTTCCACAAAGGTATTTCAGACGTGCGTGCCGTAGCAAAGTGATCGCGATGTTTACTGCTCGCGATGAAAAATCGCCAAGATATTTCACGGAACACCCGGTGGATCGTGGTCTGCCACGACCGGCCTACTACGTCGGCCTACGTTCTTGCGAGTATCTGGTTATCTCTACTACCTACTTGGTATACCGATTCTCGATGGTATTCACAACGACCATGCGTGTCTCTCAGACTCTCGATTTGCCGAGCAGAGAGAGAGCTTCATCGACTCTCTCTCGGCGCGTTCAGGTATATTCGGTTGTCCCGACTTCCGGTCGTGGTAAAAGTGTGCGACTAGGTGGAGTTTATATACCCACGCGACCCAGGTCACTGACGATCGATGGCCGAGTGGGGAAACATAGAGAAAAAGAAATAAACCTGCTGAAACTTCAAGTCGCGCGCTGCCACGCCGAAAAAGAGATCCGTTTCGATAGATCGAGCGAGCTCGTGTTTTCGAGTACGATTCGGCGCGGCGTTAAATCAAGCGAGCGCATGAATGAATGAATGAATAAATGAATGAATGAACGAGAGAAATAGTAGAGTAAAATGGTGGGAGTTGCCAGTTTGTACCGGATGCCAGTTGTCTTATATAACTTTTTTCACAAGACATATAGCTGTTATAACAGCTTATACAGAAGATAACGTACAAGATTTATATTACTGAACAGCTCGCATAAAATTTCGATGTTTTATCCGACAATGTCGGAATGTCGAAGTAACATTTCAACTTTTTCACGTATCGCGAAATTAACGTTTTTTCAGTTTGTTGACTTGGGCATGGTAACTAGCATAGAATACAATCACAAGCCTGTGGAGTCGGCCAGGAAAGGTCAAGAGGTCTGCATCAAAATCGAACCTGTGCCGGGAGAAGCACCCAAGATGTTCGGTCGACATTTTGAAGCGAAGGACTTTCTCATCAGCAAGGTAAGAGAATTATTTACATGTTTTTTTTTTCTTTTTTCCAATCTCCTCTCAAATATCGTTCTACAATTGCACTTTTTTTCATTATAACTTGTAATTTTTATTCAGTAATTAGCGATACTGTTCGCTACTATGTGCTATTTTATTACTGCGCGAGGCTGAGAAATGCGTTTTCGCCTTGTCGCAAATTCGACTTAGTATGCGAGACCTAGATCGAAAAAGGAAGATGAACATCCGGCGGCGATCGCCCGTCCGCCGCCGGCTTCCGGCCTTCGTAGAAGCTCGCTACCTTCTTTTCCCCACCGTCCGCTTCGTCTCCCTACCCGCTTTCAACTCTTCCTTTTTCGTCTTCCTCCTTCAGATCAGGATATCGACTACAAATCGACGACGGGAGGAGCTCGGTTCTCTACCGCTCGCTCGGAAACTTCATTCTAATTCTTTCACGAGTTGTTTCGCTCATTCAAATATCATTTATCGTCAATTTTTTTTTTTTTAAATAGATGTAATTTACTTAAATTGACTCTGCGAGATATTTATTATTGTTTTTTTCTTATTTATTTATTTGTGTGTTAATATCATTAATAACAATAGAGTAATGAATTATATAAATAACCAAACACAAAGATGTAGAAAACAAATTAATATTTCCGTGTAGATTTTATTTTATAAAGATGCAACTTTATGAATGAGCATCTCTAGGAAAGATACGTCAGCATAGACAAAAAACAGGATATATGCTGAAAGAATTAACGCAGGATTAAAGAGCGAGAATGAATGAATGAATTTATGACCGGCAATCGTATTTTCGAGGAAATGTGTGTAAAGATGGTGCGATGCGTTCGTTTTTTTTTTTTATGGCGGATGTTTCGTAGACTTCTTTCCTGGTGAGAAACGATGTCTTTTCTCTGTTACATACACACAACCGACGTCTCTCTCATCTTCATTCTTTCCCTCTCCTCCTCCTCCTCCTCGTTTTTCCTGTCTTTCCTTTCCCTTCGTCTCCTTCCCTTCTTCTTCGTTTCCGCGGGTTTGTGTCTATCGTCGTCGTTGGTTCAAGCGTCTTCCCTTTGCTTTGGTAGGCAAGCGGAAGTCGTCGTTACCGTTTGCTTCACGGAATCAGTTCCGGAAGTATCTTGTTCCCACGATGGATTCTCCCGAAGTTTCGCCGACATCACGTCGGCTCGTGTGTGTATGTGTGAGCGCAAGTACTTGAAGCGAATACTCATCTCGTCGAATAAAAAAACGTACATGTCCTCGAAGAAATTTTCACGAAAGCAAAGTGAGAAAACACAAATAAATGTTTGACGAAAAGAGATGCATCAAACATACAAGACACGTTACTTTTCTTCACGTCCTCGATTTCGAGCAAATATTTTTGCTTCTTTACTTTTGAGCTGAGAGAATTTACTTTATTTATTTCGCAAACGCGTATATGCGGAACAATATTTTTCGCCGTGATTTCCTCGTATTTCTTTGAAGATGCGTTTATTTATTCGAGAAGAAAGAGCGCGAGAATAGTTTGTTTCTAATCTCACGCGTTGAAACGAAGAAAAGTGGATATCGCGCGAAAAAAGTTTTAACGACCGTTTTAATTATCGAGAAAAGTCTATATGTTTGCCATAGATAATTGTTTGTTAACTTCGTCGTTTCTTTGACAGTTTTCAAAATCGAAGATCTTTTGAACATTTTAATATTTATATGGCTTTAAGTTAACGAGCGTGAGTTTTTTCACGAGCACGAACTTCACGCAAAAAACTTGAAGTTTCAAATTAGTTACGCCTTGCACCGATGGCGACAATTTTTTTTTTATGATTACCACGAATTGTGCGAGTGTGTTGTATATTCACCGTTCCGCGTACTTTACAAACGATACGATCGTGGGAGGACAGGAGGGAAAACACGGCGGCATGAATAACGGAGGGAGAGAGAGAGAGAGAGAGAGAGTTAGGAGAAGTGACGTGATAGCGGGGAAGGGGGACAGACGAGCGAGAAGGGGCGTGGCGGGAGGCTGGCGTCCTCAATAGCCGCGTAAAACCACCATTGTGACCGATCCATGAATGAAACGGGACTTCCGGTCGGGAGTGGGGGCGGAAACAGTTGTGAAGCGTTACATTTCCGAATGGACCGTACGTGCTTACGCTTACGCTCACACTCACGCTCACGTTCTCTCTATTTGCGAAAAGCGCTGCGTGAAAATTTGTCACGGACATGCCGGCTCACGTATAAAACGCATCAGGTTCTCGAAAAAAAAAAAAAAAAAAAAAAAAACAACCGTCGTCGCAGCGGCAGCTGCTGCCGGTTTCATTATGTAGCCTCGTTGTTAACGTCGTTAGTTTATTGAAATTTGGCCTCTCCATCACAAACCGTCAAACGAACACATGAATGAACGACGCTTATATTTCCGTTACAATAAATAGCGTCACTTCAATATATGTATATACCTTAGGTTTTTTTTCTTGGAAGCCTTGCAGAGAGCAGTTTCCGCCCTTTCGATTATTTAACCAATATATTAGCCACGACATTCTCTTCTTGGATTGTTACAGATCAGCAGACAGAGCATAGACGCGTGCAAGGATTACTTCAGGGACGACTTGGTGAAGACCGACTGGCAGCTTATGGTGGAATTGAAGAAACTCTTCCAGATACTCTAGGATAAGTTTATTATCGCGGCAGCGACATTGTCCAAGGGCCTCTTATTGTTTTTCTGATGGTTGTTCAGCGCGCGAGCGGATTACACACACGCCGTTTAAATACGCATCGACGCCAACATACTCATATCGAATCGCGAATTGATGTCTTTTGAGACCTTTCCTGTATTCACGGTAAAACAAAAACAAAAACAAATCTCTTGTGTTCACTAAACTGAACGTGCTGCGGAAAAAAAAAAAAGTATCAGTAGACAATCCCGGACTTGCTCACGTCCTTGAAAGAACGCGCGCGCGCGCGATTGACGGAGGAAACGCGAATCGTTCGGTTTCGCTACAGCGAATCTCTGAGATTTTAGCCCCAAGCACCGGTTCTTCCAAATCTCGTTTGCGAAGTATAGAAAAATAACGCGAGTGAAAATCGCATCTAAGAAGAGCTTCTTGGAAGTGCGCGATCGCGAAAAGAAGAGTCACCGCGGATAGAACGCCGTGGCTCTCGTTGTAGATACGCAGAACAGAAAGAAGATATACGAAAAAGAAGAAGAAGAAGGAGAAAAAGAAGACTAGACGAAAGAGAAAAAGAGAAGAGAGACAAAGAAGAAGCACTGAAGGAAAAATAAAAAAAATTGTGTGTTTTGTATATGTAATCACTTTATATAAGATGAGCAAATTATATTGCGATGGGAAAATAAAATCTATCCGTTTTCGCAACAAATAGAAAAAGAATGCCGCTTGTGTGTGATGGTTTTTTTTTCCTCCCACAGAACCATGTGCGTGTGTTTCTCATTCTTTCTTCCAGGTTCCAATTATCGCGTCCAATCAAATTTATCTTCGATCGCATCTGACGCGTGTTATTTCCTGTGTGTGAATTTCGCTCGAAATTATCAGTATTTGTTTTTTGTTTAGATCTGTCAAAAGTATGTGTGAAAGAGTATAATATTCGATTCTTTTATTACCGTCAGTAATAAATTTCTGTTTATGTCTTGATTGTGTTGTTTGAGGGAAAGCGCAAATATTGCGCTACGAAAGAAAAATCGTTCTCCGGAAACAATTCTTTGTAATTCTACGGGCCCTTATTCCGATTATCACCTCTTTTACCGCGTTAATATATGCCCCGAGCGTGGGAACGTGGCGTGGTTTTAATTGGCTGAGAGTGGTAATAAACGACGAAAAGAAACTTGAGAAATAGATCGACGACGACGACGACGACGATGACAAGATGACGTATAACGTTACGCAGAGTCGTAAACTTCGCGCATATATATCGTTTTCCAGTTCCCGGGAATCCGGTTGTCTCGCCCTTTTTCAAAAGCGAATAATAATGAGACGCGTGGAGGCGTGCGGAATCGAAAGTTGCCGCCTTCTTGACGTCGTCGTCGTCAAGATATTTTTCGAGTTTCCGCGCGTGCTAAACTACTCATTCGGCTTGTAACGATACGATTCTGTCCCTTGCTCGTAAGAAATTGCACCGAATTTGATTGGAAAATTTGTTTTATTTTTCCGAGAGTAACTCAAATCGACTCGTTCAAGTTCAATAGAAATAAAATTACTTTGTTTTTAATTGCTTGTGTTTTGCTTTTGCGCTGTTCGAATCCGTCACTAGTCTTGGAGTCAGAAAATATGCCGTGTCCTTGCTGGGAGCAACCGAGAGCGCGAGTCCGTCAGGTCGCGCTCAATAAACGCACGTCATTTCGAGTCATTCATGCATCTGCAGGTTGTCCTCGTGTCTCTCTCTCTCACTGTACGTATTGCGCGCACACACATACACACATACACGCGCGCCATTGAGGTGTGAGTGTAACCGCATTGCGCTTACGCATTAGTCGCGACTTTGCGAAGCTCGATTTTCGCGAGATCGTACATTTTCACAGACAACAACGCGCAAATCGCCTCCCATCCTGGAATCCGATAATTGCGATTAAAATAATTTTCGATAATATGAGATTTATCATCGCTTCGATCGCAATTTCGAATTGTAATGAGTATTGATGTTGCGACATATCTCTGATGACGACACAAGAGACAGGCGAGACACAAAATTTGCAAATGCAAAACCCAAGGTGAGGGGAGAAGAGACGATCGAAGGAAATGTAATTGTGAAAATGAGAGTAACATTTCGCCACTGTTATTCCGAGTATACCAACTTCTTTATATAGTGTCCGAATGACTTACCTAATTAGAGACAATTAACCTCCACAATTACTGAAAGCGATATGGCACAGAAGAATAACGAGGAAAGGGTATAGAGAAGTCCGGAAAGAACATTTATTATACTTCTGTAATATGTTTGTTGATATTTTCAATGATTAAAGTCTTAGTATAATAATATTTTTACATTTTACAGATTTGGATAAAGAAAATTGTCAATTAAAATCAAACGTAAGGTAACGATTATAGTAACTCGGAAAATGTTCAAAAGTCAAACTTTTTGTCGACAGGAGACTATTCGACGACATGAATTTATTCGAAATTCCGAAGGAAATGTAAACAAACGAGAAAATAAAATTGTACAGGAAGAGCCCCCGTAGCGTTTCGTCCGGAAAAGAATTTTACGGATAAACAGGCGTGAATTGTGTGTGCGACCCGGGTGCGGACGTGTCGTTCATTCACAAAAAAAGTTCTCTACCTACGTTCTCTACGATCGCCTGTTTCGCATGAAGTAAAATTTCCGACGTCACTGCCACTGTTCGTCGACATCAATGAGAACGTACTGTTACCCCGCTATAAAAAAAAAAAAAAAAAAAAAGAGAAGAAATAAAAAAAAAGAGCAAAAGACCGAGATATTCGCGGTTAGTAGAAAGATGAATAAATAGATAAATAGGTAGGAGATATAGATGAATAGATAAATAGCTTATACGCTATTGTGTGTTTGTGTCTAAGCGTGTGCGCTCGTTCGAGCATGTGACAGAGAAGAAGGACGACGACAGAGAGAGGGGAAAAGAGAGAGAGAGAAAGAAAAAGAGTGAGAGAACTCTAATACGAGAGGGGCTGAATAGGAGGGGAAGCGTTTCCACACCGGATATCCTCTCGAGGGAAGCGGTGCACGCGATTCGCATCGCCGCCACGCCCGTACGGCGTGTAGATATAAGCGTCGTCGCTTGATATTACTAACAGTAAATGGCTGCGCCGATTGCCTCAGAATTGTTCAGTCAGCAAAGATATTTCTTACGTCGGCTGTAACAACGCGAAAACGATACAACAAGAGATAGGCACATCTCGACGCGCCAGTACACGATTCTCTCTTTTCAGCGTTTTTCATTAACAATTTTATACACGTCCAATATATATGTAATTCTCTGAAGACTCTCCAATGCGCGCGAGTCTTCTTCGCGTGATAAAACGCGAACATTTATTCTTCATATTACACGTGAATCACGAATCAACTGATGATGAATAATCACGGCACCAAGGAAGTATCTTTCGCGCGGCTTCTCGGAATGAGACACACGTGTGTCATACATATGTCATATGGTTTGCTCTTTCCTTCCCTCCTCCCGGTCGCGAACGCTGTTGTTTCGTCGACGATTCGACGTAAGCGAATCTTTTATATCGAAACGGATTTCATTGAAGAAAAAAACTGTTGTACAAAATTAGTCGCCACATCAAAAATAAACTTTCGATCGCGATATATAAATATATAAATATTTTACGGAACAAAAATTAGCTATGTTAAATAATTGAAACGCTTTTTATCGTCATATTTTTATTTGTCTCTTGAAATTTTTGGTCTTACGCGCGACACTTCAAAGTCTGCGATAAAAAAACGTCTCTGACGAAGCGTTGAACCACACCTGAATGTGGGACACGTATGGAAGTTTATTAAAATGATAAGTTTGTAAGGTGTGTTTTTTAGCGCGTAATTACATCGCGGCTGCTCCTTTTTGATGTTGTAGAACAAGAAAAAACCTGAAGAAGAAAAATCAATATCACCTTTACGCTTTCTCGCGTCGCCTGGATTAGAAGAGGCGGGCTAGAGGACGAGCAACGAAGCGCTTGTACGAACATATATTTAATACATACGGCATCTCTCCGTCCACGACATACCCGCGAGCAAATGGAGTGAACGAGTCTTGTGTGGCGGTGAGAAGACGGGGTGGGTAAGAGGAAGAGGAGGAGGAGGAGGAGGTCGAGGAAGCGGGAGTAAGAGACGGTTTGTAAAGAGTGCGCAACGAGGATGAAAGAGGATGTAGTCGGCGGACGTTTACGAAGAGAACCGAGTCGCTTCGACATGTGGGAGAGCTCGATACTGTGTACGTGTGACAGAATCGGTGTTACAACGACGTTTGATCATCTGAACGGATACTCTTCTACTACTACCAACTCTTAATGCTATTGCTATTACTGCTATTACTGCTAATACTCCAACTCCGCTTCTTTTCAACGCTACTCAGAAAAACTAGAAAAATATTCAACACTTATGCACGAAAAGAAATGAATTACACGCATTAAGCGTCGGGAATATAGTCGAGCGATAAAAAAAAAGAAAAATCTTTCACACTAAAAAGGAAAAAAACAAAACATGTTTTTTACATGTATATAAGGTTAAAACGATTTATATCGTGAACTCTGTACATACAATAAACGCATACATACAAAACCATAATATAATATTTAAACGTAAAATGTATAATTTGAGAAATAAACTCTGTACACATATACATATATATATATATAAATTGCAATATGAATTTCGAGTTGCGCATGGCACCGCAATATCGCGCGCCGACCCTGGCCGTACAATGCGAGCATGAATGAAGTATCGTGTCTGGTTGCGAGTTCGCCACACGAGAGGGTGCGGGGTGGGAGGAAAGGGTGGCATATGCGTCACGGTGCCTTGGTGGCTGCTGTTGCGCGTGTGGTACCTCTGCACGCGCGAGCGCATGTGCGCGTAAGTATTTCTTGCGCGCGCATGCGCGCTCTCGATTCCGCGGAAGAAAATAGCAAGAGAGAAACGCGGAGTCGCGGCGCGCGGGGGAGGGCGCGCGAAAAAGAGGAGAGAAAGAGAGAGACAAAACACACACCGCGCTCGCCGCTGTTTATATATACTATATACGCGAAGAGAGGAGTGTCGGTACCAACGCTCTGCAATACGCCGAGCACACCAACCGGTAGTTTTCAGAAAGTCAGGAGCGCGATCGTTACCGTCTCGGTGAAAGAGAAAAAGAGAGAACACAGTGGCGAACCCGCTAAGCGGGATTTTGTGTGCGCGCTCTGGGGTAGAGAGAATTTATCATTCACGATACCCGGCGGAGACGACGCGAAAAGGCGTGAGACGACACGAAGTCGGCGCATGTTAACCCGTCCGCGCGGTGAGATTTATAATCGTTGTTGCGCGAAAAGAAAAAAAAAAAGAGCGAAAATAATACAACAACGTTCTCCCGTGCGTTCTCTCGCCAGCGCCCGATCAAAAGTGCGTTGAGAGAATTGACGTGTTGTTACGTTGCGACGAAACTACAGCCGAGTGCGTAAAAACGAAGTGAAAGTGCGACAGAGAAAGAATTTGCGAGCCGCTGCTCCCTACCCCTCACGAAAATGCTGAACTTTTTCCGATGTGTCTGAACCCGCGATACACATCGTCGACGCGCGAGATAGAAATTTGCAACGGAGGTTAGGAGGCGCGAACGGCACCGAGAAACTGAGATTACGCGAGATCGGAGTGTGCGAAATAGAAGAAGAGCGAATAACGGGAAACGACTGTGGACGACGGGAGAGGATCGACTGAACAATTCTGAAGGAAGAGGAAC